CCCCTGTACAGACATTTTAGGCACTAGCCAACTCCATTTACTCAACGCCCTTTAGGAGAGGAGTAGATGCGAGAGGAAGTAGACTCGGGGGAGGAGAGGAGAGGAGAGAGAGAGGGAGGAGAGGGAGAGGAGGGGAGAGGAGAAGTGGGGCTGGGTAGGAGGGAGCGGGAGAGGGAGGAGGGGAGGAGGAAGAGAGAGGAAGGCGAGGGAGGGATAGGGGAGGGGACAAGAGGAGTGAGGGGGGGAGGAAGCAAGGAGGAGGAGAGAGGAGGGAGGGGCGGGAGGGAAGAGGAGGCGCGGAGAGAGAGAGGAGAAGAGGGAGAGAGAGGAGGAGAGAGGGAGCGAGAGGAGGAGGAGAGAGGAGGAGAGAAGGAAGGGGGGAGGATGGGAGAGGAAGAGGGGAAGAGGGTAAGGAAGGGAGCAGGGAGCAAGAGGGAGAGAAGAGGAGAGGGCAGAGGAGAGAGGAGGGGAGGAAGGGGAGAGGGAGGGGGGGAGGGGGAAAATAAACGGAAAAAAGGGAAGAAGTAAGGATGGAGAGAATAAAAAAAGACATAAGAAAGGAAACAAAAAACAGGAAGCAATACAGGAAGACAACAAAGAGAAAGAAGGAAACAAAGGATATGCGAAGATGTAGTTGGGTACTTGGGGAGAGAGTAGAAAGAAAGATAGAATTGGGAGTGTACGAAAAGAGAAAGAAGACAAGTAAAGGCTTGCACGGAGGGACGCGGAAGACAAACCACTAGAATGAACCCCAAAGTAGAGTAAAGGAGAGCGGGAGAGGGGGACTACGGGGGAGAGAAAGAGATGGAAAGAGAGGTAGGAGGAGGGGAACGGACGGAGGCCAGAACATTAGGAGAGGAGAGGAGAGGACGAGGAGAGGAGAGGAGAAGAGGTGAGGATAGAGAGAGGAGAGAAAGAGGAGGGGTGACCCTGATGAGTAATTAGGCGAGAGGGACGTACAGAAAAAGAGAACAATAGAAGACAAGAAAACGAACAGAAAAGGCCTGGACAGGGAAGCGATAGGCGAGAGAGAAAGAGGGTGAAAAAGAAAGAGGAGAAAAGATGAAACGGAGTAGGAGAAGGAGAGGAGTAGAAGACCAAGAGAGCTACATCTCGAAAGGCGATGAATTAGGGCGGGACGAGATCAGCTAAACTGCCGCCAGAAGGAGGATGAGAGGAGAGGAGATGGATTGGAAGACGAAAGCGAGGGAGGCCGAGAGAAGGAGAAGGAGGTGCGGAGGAGAGCAGGACGAGGATAGAGCTCGCAGGGAGGCGTAGGAGAAGGGAAGCGAGGAAAGAGGCGAGAGGAGAGGAAGAGGGAGAGGAAGAGGGAGGAGTAGATGAAGAGGGAGAGGAGAGGAGAGAGGACGAGAGTGAGGAGGAGGAGAGAGAGCGGAGAGGAGAGTGAGAGGAGGGAGAGGAGAGGAAGAGACCCGGAGGGGAGGTCAGGGACGGAGCAGGAGGGTCTGAGGAGTAGGGCGGAGGAGAAGAGGAGAGCTGGGGAGGAGATGAGGTGTAGAGGAGAGGATGGTCGAGGATCTGCAGACGAGGGAGGAGCACTGATCAGAGGAGAAGACCGCGGAGGAGAGGAGGGAGGAGGGCAGTGAGGAGAGGAGAGAGGCGAGGAGGGCCAGATGGAGAGGAGAGGACGAGCGAGGAGAGAGAGGAAGAGGGAGGAGGGGAGGAGGAGGAGAGGGGAGACGAGTGGAGAGGAGGGAGGGAGACGAGGCCAGGAGAGGAGAGGCGAGGAGAAGAGAGACCAGAGACCCGGAGGGGAGACCAGAGGGAGCGGAGAGAGGGGAGAGGAGAGAGACAAGAGACGTGGGGGAGACCAGAAGAGGAGAGGGGACCCGGGCGAGGGGGGACCCGAAGGAGACCGGGCGGGGGGGCGGGGACCAGGGGGATGGGGAGGCAGAGGTAGAGGACCGGCAATGGAGGGAGACCAGATGAGATTGACTCAGGAGAGTAGACCAGAGAGTATCGGCGACCGGAGGCGACATAGCGAGACTACAGTAGATTAGGGGACTCTTCTCTGCCTCGCCTGCTCTCGATTCAATCTCTCTCTCTCTCTCTCTCATCGCCCCCATCCCCACATCTACTCTCAACTCCCACCATGTACCCGACGATCTCTACCCCCTCCTCACCCCATCTCCTCCCTCTCATATCTTCCCTACTCTCTCCATCTCTCTCTACTCCTCTCATTGCGTGCTCCTCTCCCTCTTCCTCTCTCCCTCTCTACATCTTCTCTGCCTCTACCTCTCCCATGCCCTCTCTCTCTCTCTCTTCTCTCTCGCCTCTCTCTACTTCTCCTCTTCGACAATCTCCTCAATTCCTCCTCTTTCAACATCTTCGCTCTCTCACCTCGTCTCTATCTCTTAGTCCCCCCTCCTACCTCCCCCCCCCCTCCACTCACCCCTCCCCTCTCTCCCCTGCTCCCTCACTCTCCCTCTCCGCCCTCCTCTTCCCTCCCCCCATTCCTATCTATCACTCTCCACACGCACTCTCTCACTTATACATACTACCACTCCCAACCACATTTAACGCTCTCTCACCCACATCCTCTACTCCCACTCTACCTCATCCCCATTAATCCCCCTCACACAACACCACTACCCACCCCCATCGTACTTCCCCTCACCCCTCTCCATTCACTACTCTTACTCTCTCCCCGTCCCTTTCTCCCCATACCCTCTCCTTCTCCTCACCCACTCCCCCTCCTCTTCCCCCATCACCCCCTCTCACCTCCCTTGTCTTCCTCCTCTCCCGCTCTCCTCACACCCCACCTTATATTTGCTCGTTTCTCTCTCTCCCTCTTCAGTCTCTCTTCTCATTCTCTCGCCCCTTCTCCTTCCCCTCCTCTACTCCCCATCTCTCCCCTTCCTACACTCTCCCTCACCCTCTCCTCCCCCTCCCCCTACTCTTCTCCTCCTCCCTCTCCCCTCCTCTCTCCCCCATCTCCCCTCTCCCTCTCCTCTCCTCTCTCCCCTCCTCTCTCCCCATCTCCCCCTCTCCTCCCCCCTCTCCTCCCCCCTGTCTCTCTCCTCCCTCCTCCCTCCTCCCTCCTCTCATATTAGTCTTATCTCCTATCCTTCTCTTTTCTTCCTCTCCTCTCCCCTCTCTCCTCTCCCCCTCCTCCTTCCCCATCTCTCCCCCTCTCTCTCTCTCTCCTCCCCCTCCTCTCTCCCCCCATCTCCCCTCTCCTCTCTCTCACCTCATCCCCCCTCATCTCCCCCATCTCCCCCTCTCCTCCTCTCCTCCTCCTCCCCTCCTCCTCTCCCCATCTCCCCCCCTCTCCTCCCCCCTTCCTCCTCCCCCCTGTCTCTCTCCTCCCTCCACCCTCCTCCTCCCTCCTCTCTATTTGTCTTCTCCTATCCCCTTCTCTTTCTTCTCTCTCCTCTCCCCCTCTCCTCTCCCCTCCTCTCTCCACCATCTCCCCCTCCCTCTTCCATCTCCCCCTCTCCTCTCTCTCCTTCTCTCCCTCCTACCTCCCATCTCCCCTCTCCTCCTCTCCTCTTCTCTCCCTCCCTCTCCCCTCTCCCCTCCTCTCTCCTCTCTTCCCCTCCTCTCTCCCCATCTCCCCATCTCCTCTCTCTCCTCTCCCCCCCTCTCTCCCCCTCTCCTCTCTCCCCCATCGCTCTCACACATATGGATTATTCGCACACACCAGTGCTCAGGCTCGAGGTGTCACGCACCACAAAGGATTATGGTCTTTGTACGAAATCCACCCAGAACTTTTCAACACTCAGAGAAGAGAGAAGAGAGGAGAGAGGAGAGAGGGGAGGGGAGAGGAGAGAGGAGGGAGGAGAGAGGCGAGGAGAGAAAGGAGGGAGGAGAGAGGAGAGGGGAGAGAAAGGAGGGAGGAGAGAGGAGAGAGGAGAGAAAGGAGGGAGGAGAGAGGAGAGAAAGGAGGGAGGAGAGAGGAGAGAGGAGCGAAAGGAGGGAGAAGAGAGGAGAGAGAAGAGAAAGGAGAGAGGAGAGAAGAGAGAGGAGAGAGAAGAGAAAGGAAGGGAGGAGAGAGGGAGAAGGAGGCAGGTGAGAGGGCAGGAGAGAACAGGAGGCCAGGAGAGAAGGAGAGAGGAGAGAAATGAGGAGGGAAGGAGAGAGAGGAGAGAGGAGAGTAAGGAGGGAGGAGAGAGGAGAGAGAAGAAGAAGAGAAGGAGGGAGGAGAGAAAGGGAAAGGAGGGAGGAGAGTGGAGAGGAGGAAGAGAAAGGAGGGAGGAGAGAGGGTGAGAGAGGAGAGAGGAGAGAGGAGAGAGGAGTGAGGAGGGAAAGGAAGGAGGAGAGAGGAGAGAGGAGAGAAAGGAAGGAGGAGAGAGGAGAGAGAAGAGAAAGGAGGGAGGAGAGAGGAGAGAGGAGAGAAAGGAGAGAGGAGAGAGAAGAGAAAGGAGGGAGGAGAGAGGAGAGGAGAGAAAGGAGGGAGGAGAGAGGAGAGATCCATGAGAATTGGCAACACAGGAGAGAGTGACCAGCAGTGTGTATGTGTGTGTGTGTGTGGTGCAGGTGTGTGTACGTGTGTGGTGCAGTTGTCTATGTGTGTGTGTGTGGTGCAGGTGTGTGTGTGTGTGTGTGTGGTGCAGGTGTGTGTATGTGTGTGGTGCAGGTGTGTATGTGTGTGTGTGTGTGGTGCAGGTGTGTGTATGTGTGTGGTGCAGGTGTGTATGTGTGTGTGTGTGTGGTGCAGGTGTGTGTATGTGTGTGGTGCAGGTGTGTGTATGTGTGTGGTGCAGGTGTGTATGTGTGTGTGTGTGTGGTGCAGGTGTGTGTATGTGTTTGTGTGTGTGTGTGTGTGGTGCAGGTGTGTGTGTGGTGCAGGTGTGTGTATGTGTTTGTGTGTGTATGTGTGTGGTGCAGGTGTGTGTACGTGTGTGGTACAAGTGTGTATGTGTGTGTGTGTGGTGCAGGTGTGTGTGTGCGTGTGGTGCAGGTGTGTATCTCAGGCGGAGATCGAGGCAAACCCAAACAGCGCCCTCTGCTGGACACTAAGGGCCTGTAAAACTGTGTCTGGTTAAAGCTGAGACCTGAGGAACTATGTGAGACATACCATCAAACACATGTATTCCTGGTCCCTGTCACACACATGTATTCCTGGTCTCTCTCACACACATGTATTCCTGGTCTCTGTCACACACATGTATTCCTGGTCTCTGTCACACACATGTATTCCTGGTCTCTGTCACACACATGTATTCCTGGTCTCTGTCACACACATGTATTCCTGGTCTCTGTCACACACATGTATTCCTGGTCTCTGTCACACACATGTATTCCTGGTCCCTGTCACACACATGTATTCCTGGTCTCTGTCACACACATGTATTCCTGGTCTCTGTCACACACATGTATTCCTGGTCCCTGTCACACACATGTATTCCTGGTCTCTGTCACACACATGTATTCCTGGTCTCTGTCACACACATGTATTCCTGGTCTCTGTCACACACATGTATTCCTGGTCTCTGTCACACACATGTATTCCTGGTCTCTGTCACACACATGTATTCCTGGTCTCTGTCACACACATGTATTCCTGGTCCCTGTCACACACATGTATTCCTGGTCTCTGTCACACACATGTATTCCTGGTCCCTGTCACACACATGTATTCCTGGTCTCTGTCACACACATGTATTCCTGGTCTCTGTCACACACATGTATTCCTGGTCTCTGTCACACACATGTATTCCTGGTCTCTGTCACACACATGTATTCCTGGTCTCTGTCACACACATGTATTCCTGGTCTCTGTCACACACATGTATTCCTGGTCTCTGTCACACACCAGGAACACACATGTATTCCTGGTCCCTGTCACACACATGTATTCCTGGTCCCTGTCACACACATGTATTCCTGGTCTCTGTCACACACATGTATTCCTGGTCCCTGTCACACACATGTATTCCTGGTCTCTGTCAGACACATGTATTCCTGGTCCCTGTCACACACATGTATTCCTGGTCTCTGTCACACACATGTATTCCTGGTCTCTGTCACACACATGTATTCCTGGTCTCTGTCACACACATGTATTCCTGGTCCCTGTCACACACATGTATTCCTGGTCTCTGTCACACACATGTATTCCTGGTCCCTGTCACACACATGTATTCCTGGTCCCTGTCACACACATGTATTCCTGGTCTCTGTCACACACATGTATTCCTGGTCTCTGTCACACACATGTATTCCTGGTCCCTGTCACACACATGTATTCCTGGTGTCTGTCACACACATGTATTCCTGGTCTCTGTCACACACATGTATTCCTGGTCTCTGTCACACACATGTATTCCTGGTCTCTGTCACACACATGTATTCCTGGTCTCTGTCACACACATGTATTCCTGGTCTCTGTCACACACTTGTATTCCTGGTCTCTGTCACACACATGTATTCCTGGTCTCTGTCACACACATGTATTCCTGGTCTCTGTCACACACATGTATTCCTGGTCTCTATCACACACATGTATTCCTGGTCCCTGTGACACACATGTATTCCTGGTCTCTGTCACACACATGTATTCCTGGTCTCTGTCACACACATGTATTCCTGGTCTCTGTCACACACATGTATTCCTGGTCTCTCTCACACACATGTATTCCTGGTCTCTGTCACACACATGTATTCCTGGTCCCTGTCACACACATGTATTCCTGGTCTCTCTCACACACATGTATTCCTGGTCTCTGTCACACACATGTATTCCTGGTCTCTGTCACACACATGTATTCCTGGTCTCTGTCACACACATGTATTCCTGGTCTCTGTCACACACATGTATTCCTGGTCTCTATCACACACATGTATTCCTGGTCTCTGTCACACACATGTATTCCTGGTCTCTATCACACACATGTATTCCTGGTCTCTGTCACACACATGTATTCCTGGTCTCTGTCACACACATGTATTCCTGGTCTCTCTCACACACATGTATTCCTGGTCCCTGTCACACACATGTATTCCTGGTCTCTCTCACGCACATGTATTCCTGGTCTCTGTCACACACATGTATTCCTGGTCTCTGTCACACACATGTATTCCTGGTCTCTGTCACACACATGTATTCCTGGTCTCTGTCACACACATGTATTCCTGGTCTCTCTCACACACATGTATTCCTGGTCTCTCTCACACACATGTATTCCTGGTCCCTGTCACACACATGTATTCCTGGTCCCTGTCACACACATGTATTCCTGGTCCCTGTCACACACATGTATTCCTGGTCCCTGTCACACACATGTATTCCTGGTCCCTGTCACACACATGTATTCCTGGTCCCTGTCACACACATGTATTCCTGGTCTCTGTCACACACATGTATTCCTGGTCCCTGTCACACACATGTATTCCTGGTCTCTGTCACACACATGTATTCCTGGTCTCTGTCACACACATGTATTCCTGGTCTCTGTCACACACATGTATTCCTGGTCTCTGTCACACACATGTATTCCTGGTCTCTGTCACACACATGTATTCCTGGTCCTGTCACACACATGTATTCCTGTGTCTGTCACACACATGTATTCCTGGTCTCTGTCACACACATGTATTCCTGGTCCCTGTCACACACATGTATTCCTGGTCTCTGTCACACACATGTATTCCTGGTCTCTGTCACACACATGTATTCCTGGTC